ACCCTAAACCCTAAACCCTACAGACCCCATTTCCCTCTCCGCTTTCTGGCCTAAACCCTCGCTCTTCCCCCCTCCCCTTTAAACCCTAAACCCTAAACCCTAAACCCTAAACCCTAAACCCTAGGATGTCAATGAACGTACTTGAAATAGCTTTTCTTTTATAATAGCACTCGTAAATATATCTGGATCGCTGATGATGAACGCGAAAGACAGCCCACGACGCTTCACACTTTCTCTTGCCTTCATGCGGCTCTGCTTCTGCTGCTCGCATTTGCCTCTCAAACTCTAAAAGAGGCGGTGCTATCAAGTCCCAACCCTCAGGGGGCTGTGCATTTCCACTTAGCCGCACTCGCGGCATCCTAAACCCTAAACCCTAAACCCTAAACCCTAAACCCTAAACCCTAAAAGTTTTTGATAGTTTAAAAAAATATTATAATCGGAATGCGAAAATAGTATATTAATTCTATAGATGTAAAATAAATTATATATAAATTTCTATTTATTCAAGCGATGATATCCTGCTAGGGTTTAGGGTTTAGGGTTTAGGGTTTATGGGCTGTATATGGAAATACAAATGCAGCAAAACACCAAAACAGAAGAAAAAGAGCAAAATAAACAAATTCAATTCAAAAGCGAGGGATTAGAGACTAGGGTTGAAGGTTTAGGGTTTAGGGTTTAGGGTTTAGGGTTTGGGGGGCCCCTAAGGTGGGGCTGAAAGCTGCTGCTGCATGCCAAGGCTCTGCGGCCTCAAGGGTTTAGGGTTTAGGGTTTAGGGTTTACGGTTTGTATCATCAGAGAGGCACTCGGGAAAATTTTTCTCGCTGTCTTTGTGTTTATTTTAGTCTGGTTGGAGGGCCCTGCCCTGACGCAAAGGGCCAAACCCTAAACCCTAAACCCTAAACCCTAAACCCTCGTCTCCTTGTGAGGAGGCCGCATGAATTTGCTCTCCCTGGAGGAGAGGCTTAGTCGTTACATTGATAAAACCCTAAACCCTAAACCCTAAACTCTTTTTCTTTGCTGTTCCGCTGTCCGTTGCGGGCGCTGAGGGCAGAAATCAAGACCTCCTACTCCTCTAAACCCTAAACCCTAAACCCTAAACCCTAGCAAATGCATCATTTGAGGCAGCAATGGTCGGACTTGATGGGATCGATAGACGATCCCAATCAATCTTTTACCGACGAGAATGTGTGCAAGTATTTCCTTACAGGGCTTTGCCCCCACGACTTATTCGAGAACGAAGTAAACCCTAAACCCTAAACCCTAAACCCTAAACCCTTTCCTTGGCTGCTAACACCCTTAAGAACCCTTCTTCATCAGCCGACGTACGCAGTATTACTACGAGGCACCAACTAATGGCATGTCTTCAGCGCTTCTGGGGGTACCTAGGGTTTAGGGTTTAGGGTTTAGGGTTTAGGGTTTAGGGTTTGGGATGGCGCTTGTTGTTGCGCTCTGCAGGCGGGCTTCCTTACTCTCAACATCCGCAATGTGAGTCTCTCTGCTAGGGTTTTGTGGTTTCGTTCGGGGTTTGATTAGGGTCTAGGGTTTAGGCTTTAGGGTTTGGGGGCGTGAAGTTGTTAAGGGTTCCAAGGATTGCTGATTTAGGGTTTAGGGTTTAGCGTTTAGGGTTTCAGCGTCGGAGGTTGGTGTTTGTGTGTGTGCGGCTTCTTCTTCAGAACTACCATAACATGAAGGTAAGGGGTTTGACTTGCTCAGGGTTTAGGGTTTAGGGTTTAGGGTTTAGGGTTTGTGGTTTCTGGTTTAGATCAAGTTTTACTTAGGTTCCCGCAAGAAGAGACCCATAGAAATGAAGGGCTTGAATTGGGGATTTAGGGTTTAGGGTTTAGGGTTTAGGGTTTGTGGTTTGTGGTTTAGAACAAGTTCTACTTGGGTCCGTGCAAGAAGAGACATATAGAGACGCTTCGAGATCAGTACTTTGAAGCAAGAAAACAGAAAAGATATGGGTTTGAAGAATTAGCTGTACAATTATGCAGAGCCTTAGTAGAAGAAGCAGATAAAAAGGTTCAAACCGCCCAGGTAAACGAGGGTTTAGGGTTTAGGGTTTAGGGTTTAGGGGTTTTGGGCTGTTTTGAATCACGTAAAAAAAGGGTTTAGGGTTTAGGGTTTGTTATATGTCAAGGTTTACTTGGGCAGAGGTTGGTGCCCAGGGCACA